AAAAAAAAAATCCACAATTAGGAGGCTGTATTTTTATTTTAGAAAAAAGCAAAAAATGAAAATTTTAAGACCAATCAAGATACACTTAGATATTGCTTAAATCTAAGCTGTCAATCCTTGTTGACTTTCCTTGTAGAAACACCACGAACATACATCCACCATAAATGACCATCACCTCGAATTCCACTTTTTCCACTAGAAGAATCAAGGAACACAATTCAGAAATAATATTACATCCTGTATTTTATTCAGTTCAATATGACAAAAATAGTAACCTAGACTAAGACATCCATTGCAGTCAGTAGATGTGTCAAGCCACAAGATTTAATAATAAAAAATATTGGATCTAGGTAACAATTCCCAGCTGCTTCAGGGAGGCCCCAGCCCTACATGGTATTGCAATATAAAAATATGTCTCTCTTTACCATGCAGAGAGGGACGACCTTGCCCTGAATACAGAACGGGCCAGTCTCACTGCACCTTCATGAGCCATCTTATTTACAACACTTTACATTTCTCTTTTCTTAAATTATATACACATCCTTTAGGGAGAAGAGAATACTACATGGTACCAAATACTAACCAAAAAAATAAAAATAAAAATCACACCAAAAAGGACACAGATAAATAACAAAAACATTCAACTGCTGAAACACAGCAACATTAAGCCACCTCAGTTTTCTATTCCAATGCTTGAAACACCCCCAATCACTCATCGCGTGGAAGAGACGTTCAACAGGGGGTGTCATCTCATCCCCGTGGAAAACAGAGCTGTAGAGTTCGGTGTTCATTTCCAATAGAAATACACAGCTAATGAGTCTCTGAAACTTGTTCTGTCTAGTGACACGCTGGCAGAAATGGCCCATCCTCATACAATGATTTTTGTTGCTGCAGTTGTTAGTAAGAGATTGTCCTATTTTTCTGATTCGACTGGGAGGATTTCCCTGTCTGACTCTTTCTTCAGGGGCATCATCTCCTTGCACTGTTACCCAGCTACCGTGATAGCTCTTGAACAATTCTGCTGTTGGAAGTACAGAGCGTCGGACTCCAGCACGATCGCGATGCACGAAAATGAGGTAGGACACGTAACACCGACTGCTCAGGTTGGGACTCAGCCCCTCCTCCCAGCGTCCGAGCTTCTGTCTCAACTCGGTGCAACTTAGACAAAGTCATTGGCATAAGATTGTGTTTCAAATAATCAGAGGACATTGTGCTTCGTTTTCATATGAGAAGATAATAAATCAGGA